CTACCAAGAAAATACCCACAAACCCAATTGAGTGGAAGGAACTAAAAAAAATTAAAATAAATAACCTGATTGTTTATGGAGTGAAAGAGTTTGTGGCAAGAGGAAACATGGAAAAGAAGAAAGCAAAAATTATTTTCACTGATGCCAAAAATTTATTTTCACTGATGCCATTTCCTCCTAATCTCATTAGACTCCATGCATAGGTAGTAAATGATGGGCCCAGTCCAAACCAGACTCAAATCATAGATGCAGACTAGGCCTAGATCACATAAGCAGACCAACAAAGGCTCATTTAAACTTTTAGTTGGGTCAAGCCCACTATTTTGAAAGGACCAACTTATAACTAGCGCATGTGGGGATCTCCATTTTAGGAAAAGGAACTCGTAGAACACAATCAACTGGGTGCACATCGCCAGCTTCATAGAGGTCTTACGGAACCACTTTGCTCCCCATTACGAGAATAACGCCTCAATTAGGGCTCATTCGGAGCCGTTCTTGCCTATAAATTGTAAACCCCACCTACAAATGAGGGGCATCACTCATCTCTCAGCACTCTACACACCTTGAGTAATTAAACTCTTTGGCCACCGTAGTCATTCCTGTGGAGTAGGTCACTTAGACCGAACCACCTAATTCGCATGTTTGATTATTTTGAGCATACCCTATCACATACTCCATTACATACTTAATTGATTTTGCAAAAATTGTAACGCTCCAAAATCTACCCTAGAAGACATTACTATTTACAAATCATCCAACCACAAGAACAACTAAAAATAACCATTAAGTGATAAATAATTTATCCATTTGACAATGAATAAATACTAAAACCAATAGAACATTGAAACTTCTCCAGCTTACAAATCAAAACCAAGAATATCTTGCAGCCGAATAATAAAAACTAGTTAAAACATTATTTCATAAAAATCTCTCAAACTCTAAACCAATAGTAGATCAACTCTATTCCTCTAAGGTAGGATCCACATCTTGAACCTCCAATGGCTCATAATCAATCTGCTCATCCACATTGACATCCTCTTCTATGCCAAAATTTGTAAGTGTGTTGTAGGGGGTGAGCAAAAGCCCGTAGAAAATCCATCTCAAATCCCAACAAAGTTTAAAACAATAAAAAATGGCAAGTCTCTTTCAGAAAATAGCATATAAAGATTTTTGAGAATAAAACCATGGTACTTGTAATGATCTAAAGTGTACGGAATACAGTAAATCAATGACAAGAATAAACTTGCAAGAAATTAAAGCAATAAATAAGTAACTCAGTAACATCATTCAATATTCTCATGTATGTTGGTTCATCCCCATTGTCATGTATGTTGGTTGCTTCTCAGGAATCTACACAATGCTTCAGCCTCGTTCACTCATCATAACCACACAATCTCAATCATTCTCCGCAGGGCCAAATCACAAACCACTTTAGGAAGGGCATATACCGTCTCTCACGGCATTGATGAATCCTTCCCAAGAAAGGTATTCCATCCCTCAGCCTCGAACTTACGTGAACAATAGTGGTTGCCCTCACAAACAACAATCCACTACAAGTGTTAGATAACCATCTCACCCCCACTGGGATAGACTAATCTCTAACACTCTACGAAAGCTCTCGAAGGCAATTCAAGTCCATCAAACAAACCATAGAAGAGATGAAACCACAACTTTCTCAACAATCACAATCTTAACCAATCATAATTTCCATTAATAATTCAAGTACCACAAGTGCACAATTCTCAATATACTACATTACTAAAGGAATTAAAATATGCAAGAGATCATCTCAAGAAAATATTTACAATTTCGATATCAAAATTCTAGGGTTTAGCCAAAAATCATAATTTCTTAGATCAAGAACAAATGTTAGATGAAAAAATGATTTAATAAAGAATAGGAATTTAGAAATCAAGAATCCATATGAATTTCACAATAGAACATGTATTTTAGAAAAACTAGGGTTTTGGAAATTCAAGAACAATGTTTCTTGAACCCAAATATGCATTTTGTTCAAGATTATGTTTCAATGATAAAGAAACCAAGAATTCATATATATCTATCATACAATTATCAAGAAGATTGAAATCATACATAATTATACCCTAAGTCTCAATGAAAGAACTTAAGAAGAATCCCCTACCTCAATTATGTTGTTTGTGTGTAAATCTAGCGTGTTTAATCCGTTCCAACATGAGAATCCTTTTGAGTCTTGTGTTTCTCTTTCTCTCTTGCTCTCCAGGGTTGCCTAGGGTTGAAAATTGATGAAAAATAGCTAAAGAGACGCCCTTATGGTATTTATAGGGTGAAAAACGAAGAAAAATACTAAAATTGATCGGGGTTATTTTTAGGGTAGCGTCCGAATGGTCCTTGGGCGTCCAGACAGTTCAAACTCACTATTTTCGATGAAAAATAAAGTTTTTGGGTAAGGAGTACCGTTCGGACGGTGCTTGGAGCGTCCGGACGGAGACAACTTTATGTCCCAATTTCAGAAGCAATTTTCACCTATTTAGAAGTCGATTCAGGAAGTTTTCGTGAAATACACTTTTGTAAGTCTAGTTTCTACTGTCCAAACCTCAACTCAATTTGAGGTAGGATTAAAAATTTATGGCCAAAATACTAAGATAGTGTCAAATTCCTTCTTACCCGAATTCTTTCTAAAACGCGTTTTAACTCTGGAATACTTCCTAACTTTTAATACACCTCATTTTACCTCTCCCTAGGTTTATCGACCTTCCAGATCCAATGGTAAACCTTATTTTGACCTAAAAATATTTAAAAACCTACCTAATAACTATTCTTAAGCTTAAACACCTTCAAAACTAAGTTTGATCCGAAAGTCAATTCATGCGAAACTCAATCTCCATGATCAATCTTTTAACAATGATTCGAGGTTTCTACAATCCTTTTATTCATTTTAAGAGAAATATTAATATGATATTATTCTTATTTAATTATAGTACGGAGTCTTACAAAAATACTTTTGTGCATTATCAAAACTCAATCACAAAATTCTAAAAGAAGAACTTTAACTATTTTTTTATCTTTTATTTATAGTTAGAACAAAGATTTTTGGGACCAGATACATTTTTCATAATCATATAATAGAATATGAGGAATGAAAAATTAAGTTTAATAAATTTGTAACGATATTTAATTCAAATATACATATACCTAATATGTTTTATTAATTTTTATGTACAAAAACTATTCACGTGTAATATACATGGTACATTATGTATTCTATAATATAAAATATGGCAGACTTCAATAAGCTTATTTGACCGTCTCAAATAAACTTATCAAACGATCACTAAAATTTCTCTCAAAATCATTCACATTATACCGTACTTTCAGGCATAGATCACATACATATATTTTATAATATAAAATAGAATAGACTTCAATAAACTTATTTAACGGTTTCAAATAAACTTATTCAACGGCCACTAACATCTCTCTTAAAATTATTCACAGTACACCGTGTTTTCAAGTACGGGGTTATTCCTTATAATAATAATAATAATAATAATAATAATAATAAAGTAGTTGCATTTCTTTATCTTGAACTTTTCGCAGCTTAGATCGATTGAAGATTATTGATCCGACGATTCTAATTAGACTTTCATTCCTTTTAAAACTCTAAGACTTCTATCTGTAATATAACTCTCTTTCTCTCTCTATCTCATACACTCAACTCTCATACGTATATTAGTATATAACTCTCTCTCTCTCCCTCACAGATATTTTAAACAAACACTCTCTCATCTCTCTCTCTCTCTCTCTCTATATATATATATATATAGATGAGATATAATGAAAATTTAATTAGGATCGTCAAGACAAACAATACTATCTCATACTTTCTCTTTTAACATTCTTAGTATTATTTGTTTGTCTTGATGATTCTAATTGAACTTATTTACTCAAAAAAAAAAAAAATTCTCAGGTTGTAAATATTCAAAGTCAAGCTAATCACCCATAAAAAAGATTTAAAGTCAAACTAATCACCAATAAAAAATAATAAGTGATACCAATTGTACCAAAAAAATAAAAAAATTCAAAGCCAAACTAATCATTAATAAAAGATAATAAGGGACACCAATTGCACCAAAAAAATAAAAAATTTAAAATCAAGTAAATTATCAATAAAAAAATATCAATGACCAAAAAAAAAAAGTGAAACCAATTGCACAAAAAAAAAATAATATTCTAAGCCAACTATTAATTTTTTTTTCCTTATTTGCATTGCTTTCTCTTTGCTAATGTTCATACTTTTTAAATACTTAAATTGTGCAAAATAGACACCAAAACGATAAAAAAGTCAGTTAAATTAATTTTTTTAAGCAGTGAAATTTTGATTTTGTTGATTTGGTTTAATTGTAGCGTGAGAATATTTTTGTAGGATTCGAGAAGTCAAATCAATTATCCTTGCAGTTACAAACAAATTCATTGGCCAATGTTAGTTCAATTGAGTTTTTTTTTTTTTTTGAAAATTTGATTTGCAGTTCAATGTGAACTAGATAACCTATTCATTAGATTTAGTAAGAGGTTGAAAAAATGAACACTCATTGGGAAGGAGAGCCACCATGAAAAAATATATGACAGAATAATTTTGTAATGATGTTAATTTAAGTTCATAGATATTTTCATATTGTATTAATATAATATAATTTTTTTTATTTCAATCATTGTACTTCTTTTATTTAAAATATTATTAAATTCTTGATAAATTTTTTGTGTTAAGAGTACTATATATAATCTAACAACAATAATAATTAAATGATAGGTAAGGCGGTTGCAAATTTTGTGACTGGTGAATGGGGGTACTAAACAAATACCAGGGAGGAGGAGTGGGAATGAGAAAGATGGGACAAGGCGCACGCTAAGAAAAAAAGCTGAGTTGGAGTATGATGGGAAAGGATTGGTGAAATTATAATGCGCCAGGGCGCACTAACTCCCGGAGACCAAACAAAAAATGAAAAAGAAAGCGCACAAAAACTTTGAATCAAATACAAAAACTACTCTGCCAAGAAACAAGCCCCACCTCAACACTCACCCCATCATTGCCACCAAGAAAAAGAACAATACTCACACCCACAAACTCAAAATAACAATAACAATTCAAACATTCCTTCAACATCTTTCATTTATTTGTCTTTTAATAGTTGATTTTCCCTGTTTTTTTTTCCCAGTTTAGTTGTGTGTTTTAGGACTAATATACAAGGAAATGGAGACGGGGGCTTCTTTTGCTGTTGAGTGAGTGGACTTGGCTGCTGGGTTGTTTCTGGTTTTGTGCATAATGGGAAATTGTTGGTTTAGGTCGGAATATGCAATATACAGGGTCTCTTCCAACACAAAGTCAGGTACGTTCCATCATGAATTCTTGATTTCTGTTGTTTGAATTGGTATTCTCTAACTGGGTTTTGCAAAACAGGAGTTTAGAGATGGGTTTTACTTAGATAGTGCGAAACTATGTTTCAAGTGGTCATGTTTTGCTTTTCCATTATGTTTCTTCTTCTCTGTTTTCATTACTGCTTATGGGTTTTCCATTTGATTTGTTTATCCATTCTCATGAGCTGATTTGGCTTTTCCTGTGCTACTTAGGAAAAGGTTGTGTTTTTAAATACTTTGTTATTTTTGGAAACAATAAAAGTTGAATCTTCTCTTTGTGCTGTCTTTTTATTTTCATTATGGTCTCTTTTTATATTTCTCCACCATCTTTCATGTTTCCTGCCAGTAGTTCTTTTTGTCAGTATTAGGTATCTACTTGTGGCAATTGAAGGGTATATATAGAAATAATTTTCCTTCTTGCTTTACTTTACATTTGGTTTCTTTGCTTCCTTTTTCCGCAGAATTGATTTTTTTTTTAATTTCTCTTTTGATGGGATATAATTATTATTATTTTTTTTGCAATTTTGTCTTCCTCTATGAATCCATGCTTCTTTAGATTGATTGAACATGAGAAGGTGATTTTTGGAACAATTTAGTTCAGTATTAGGAATATACTTATGGCAATTGAAGCATAAATATACCAATTTCTTTTCTTCTTGCTTTTCTACTTTTGTGCTCTTTACTTTCTTTATGCAGAATTTGTTTTTAAAATTCTTCTATGTTGGAATATAATTAATTTTTGTTTTCACAATTACCTCATTTGCTCTAAGAACCTATTCTTCTTTATATTGATTTAACATGATATGGTGAGTTTTGGAACAATTCATTCGAGGTGGCACCTATATTCTAAGATTGTGAAGTGGTTCGATTGCCCTGTTCAAAAATAAATAAATTGATTAGTTTGTTGATAATGGACATGTTGTCTAATTCTTTTTCCCAACATTTGAAGCATTAAAATGATCAAATTAGTTTTTGCCCTCAACAACTACTTCCCTCGAGCTCCCCCAAACCAAAAAAAAAAAAACAAAACAACATAAAAAACCCATGTTACAGGTGTTGGGTTTATGTTGATGAAATTAGACTTGGTGAGGATTATGATATATCTGTATTTCATAATTAGTTGTGCTTTGGAATTCTTCGTTGTAGAGTCTCCAAAAGATCAGAGTCCATCAGTGAAGGAAAGGAATGATGACCGTAAGCTACCATCAAATCCTGAAGAAGTAGAATACCTTCGTCGTAGTTCAGCGGCAAATCCATTGATTGTGTTCACATTTGAAGAACTTAAAACAATCACTGGAAACTTTAGACAAGATCACATGTTGGGTGGAGGAGGATTTGGAAATGTTTACAAGGGGTTCATTTTTGAAAATGTAAGGGAGGGGCTTGATCCCATTCCCGTGGCTGTTAAGGTTCATGATGGCGATAATAGTTATCAAGGCCATAGAGAATGGCTGGTAATCTTTTAAACTGTCCATATTGGATGCTTCACATTCTCTTCTTTTGTTTAAATATCAGTTTGGTGGTTCAATTTTGCTAATTGTTTTGTGGTTTGTAGGCCGAAGTGATATTTCTTGGGCATCTTTCTCATCCAAATTTGGTGAAATTAATTGGATACTGTTGTGAAGATGAACACCGGGTCTTAATTTATGAGTATATGGCTCGGGGCAGTGTGGAAAACAATCTATTTTCAAGTAAGGATTTTGTCACTCTCTTTTATGTTGTATTCAAGGTATTTCCGTTCGTTATGTTATTTTGTAGCAAGAGGGTTTTTATTTTTCAAAAGCAAGCTATTGAATGCCTAAGGTAAAGATTGGAGACTCAAAACAATACCATTGTGCCCTCTATACAGCAGACACCTCTCGTCTTTTGAATGTTGCTGAATCCATAAGTAGTCATACTCTTGTGACACTGCACGGTCTCACAGATGGTGGGAGAACTAGTCGTAGTCAAGGGGACATAAATATTGTACATTCCCCTTATTTTAATCCATACAAACATTTATTTACCCAAAAAAGAAGCTAAAAAAAGGTTAGTGCCCTTTTGCATTTTAAGTGGCTCAATCTCATTGGTATGAAATAAATGTGTCACTGCTAATGAAGAACCCTCACCCCCGTTGTTTTTGGGTGAGATCTCGTATATTATGTTATTTTATCTGCTGCCTATAGTTGGAATTGTAAAGATCTTCTTCTTAAGATCAAATCAAAATTATGTTAGATTATGTCAGTCTTGGTCAGATCTTGAATGACTATGTTGTAAACCAAGGGTCACAAGGGCTAGCAGCCTGTGTCTCGCCTCGTCTTTCCTTTCTTGAGTAAGACGTCCAATACAGTACTAAAAAACATCACAGTGGCCAGTGTGAGTAGCTTTACTCCTTTCCACTCCAAAGGTACAACTGCCACTTTTTTCCTCTTCATCCACACTCCTAAATTAATACATTTGTCGCAACTCGAAATAGAGCAGAGCCAGAAAACTGTGGAGAATGGGGTGGGGAGTGGAATATTTGTGTGAATATTGAATATAATTCTTTTATATTCCTCCTGACTTGAGATTGTAAAAGATAGATATTATAATTGTTATCATGTCTGAAAACAAATGACCCTTGGTTTACAACACAGTCATTCAAGATCTAGCCAAGACTGACATAATTTTGATTTGATCTTAAGAAGAAGATTTTTACAATTCCAACTATAGGCAGCAGATAAAATAACATAATATACGAGATCTCACCAAAAAACGGGGTGAGGGTTCTTCATTAGCAGTGACACATTTATTTCATACCAATGAGGTTGACCCACTTAAAGTGCAAAAGGGCACGCCTGTTGTTTTGTTTTGATGAGAGATGCATGCTTAAGGTAATGTATGTTTTCTTTGTTGCTTCATGGTTTTACATTGCATGTTGCATGCGTTAAGAGTCATACTTTTCCTCCGTTGTTGCAGGAGTGCTGCTTCCTCTTCCATGGTTTATTAGAATGAAGATTGCATTTGGTGCCGCTAAAGGACTTGCCTTTCTCCATGAAGCTGAGAAACCTGTCATCTACCGTGACTTTAAGACATCTAATATATTGTTAGACCAGGTTAGTTGTTGGAAACTCCATATATTATCATCACTCTTCCAAACTTGGGCACTTTAGGTGTGTAGTGTGTCAGTTGAACTTCAACGCACATTGTTTCATTTAGATAGCACCATCTCATCTGTCTGTCTTGACTTACAATCAAGGTTTGTATTGCAAATTCTATAAACAGGACTACAATGCAAAACTCTCAGACTTTGGCCTTGCAAAAGATGGACCAGTGGGAGATAAATCTCACGTTTCTACCCGCATAATGGGAACATATGGGTATGCAGCCCCTGAATACATTATGACAGGTTAGTTAACTATCTTGCTAGAATTACTTTCCGAAAAATGAAAAAAAAAAAAACCTATCCTACTAAAATTTACAGCTTTTTCTCTGTTAGATGGCATAATCTGAGAAGTTTAAAGAGGCATTTGGAAATATTCATTCTCTTCTGTTCCTTGTGGGCATCTGAAATAAATTACTCATTCTTCTTTAACTTGAATTATCTATTTAAACTGTGTTGTGTTTATTTTCACCAAAATATTTATGGATTCCAATGAATTGTCATTTAAGTCTTCTCTTATATAGAGTTGTGAGATCTCGTACTTTTCTCCTCTCTCGTCTTGGGTTTTTATTTGAATCAGTATGTAGGATGAGTTTGTAAGTTGAAAAATGCAATGGCAAGCAACCTAAAATTATATCATTGTCATATAGTTTCCAATTTAATGTTTTTTAACCAATAAGTCATATTTTTCCTTCAAAAAAATCATCAAGTCCTATCATATTTACCTTAGGACAATTAAGTTATACTTTTGATAATTTATTTCTAAGATGTCCTAAACTCCATTAATGATTTATTTTCTTGCACTTTTATCCTTCCCATAAAAACAAAAATTATATTTTTATATTCAATTATATTTTTTGAAATATAATTTTTTTTTATCTAAAATTAAAATCCAAGTGAGCTATACCTTTAATAATCACAATATCTACCCTGTTGACATGTAAGAGTTCATATGCTAGTGAATCTTACACAATAAAAAAGTCATTACATAAATAAATATTTTTTATTTTATCTCTTAAATACAATGTTGTAGATTGAGTGCTTGAATTTTTTTTTTATGCCTTAAACAATATTTTTTTTCTAATTAATTCAAAATGTGAAAGGAGTAGTAAAAAATAATAATTAGATGAATTTTTCTCAATAATTATATTCATAGATTAGTTTTTACATTGTTAATTTATGTAATTGTATGACTTTATAGTCGAGATTTGATAGTAAAGTGAACTAAAATATATATACTTAAAAAAGTTAAAATAATAAAACATAGAGTTGTATGATTTATCATTTCTATAACTTGTTATTGTTAATTATGTATTTTGGGTGTTATGCACTAATTAAAAAAATATTTTGCTTTGGGTACTAATAACAAATAGGGTTAATTGTACTGAAGGTCTCCAAAGTATGAAGTTTGTCTCATTTTAGTCCCCAATATTTTAATTCTATCATTTTGGTTCCTGAAGTATTGAATATGTTTCTATATGGTCCTTCAAACAGACAACATCCAGATTGCTAGCAATTTTTATCATAAACTTGTCACATGATACTTAAATATGGACAAAAAATAATTTTGATAGCTCTTAAACAAAATTTGGGTAACTCTTGATAAAAAAAATGTGTAATATGGGTAAATTTTGACCAAAATTTGGATAACTCATGATCAAAACTGTGAAATTTAGATAACTATTTAACTAAAATTTGAGTAGAAATTTGATCAAAAGTTATCCAAATTATTTTTTGTCCATATTTAAGTATCACGTAATAAATTTATGATAAAAAATTATTAACAATCTGAACGCTATCTGCTTGAGGGACCATATAGAAACATATTCAATATTTCAGGGACCAAAATGATGCAATTGAAATATTGAGGACCAAAATGAGACAAACTCTATACTTTGGGGACCTACAGTGCAATTAACCCTAACAAATATTATTAGTAAAAATGTAATTGGTGTGCTGATGAGAATGATAAAATTGGAAGAAAACATACTATTGATAGAATATAGGATGATAGGAAGTATGATTTAATTGTCTTGAAGTAAATATGATAGGACTTAATGGTTTTTTGGAGAAAAAATAGGACTTATTGTTGATTTCCCTTCATTTATTCGTACCATGCATATACACCATTGTCTTAGCACCTTTGATGCGATATCTGAAATACTCCAAATATCTTTATGATGACCATTGGAAGGTTATTACATGAAAGTTGCTTTCTAACTGATGCCAACTCGGGTGTAGGCCATCTGACTCCTAGGAGTGATGTTTACAGCTTTGGTGTCGTTCTTCTCGAGCTTCTCACAGGAAGAAAATCACTAGACAAATCACGACCAGCCCGAGAACAGAATCTTACAGATTGGGCTCTCCCTTTGCTTAGAGAGAAGAAAAAATTGCTCAACATTGTAGATCCAAGATTGGAAGGAGATTATCCAACAAAAGGAGTTCACAAGGCAGCCATGCTGGCCTACCATTGCCTAAACCGTAATCCAAAAGCAAGGCCTTTGATGCGAGACATAGTAGATTCCTTAGAGCCTCTTCAGGTTACTAGCGAGGTTTCAACAGGAGAGAAGTCTACATTGTCCGTGATTAGTGATAAAACAAATGCAGAACATCAAAAAAAAGGTGCCTTCTGAACATTAGTTCTTTTTTTTTTTTCACACTGCTTGCTTTTATTCATCAGTGTTGTTCTGGATGATGTATAACTTGTGTTAGACAGAGTGAGGCTTGATTTTTTTTTTCTTTCTGGTAAATAATGTTTTACAGTCTCAGGCAGTTGGTTCTATAGGGGAACACATCATTAATCTAAATGGGTATACGTTTGTAAGAGATTAGCTTTCCACAATGACAGTCAGCCTTGGGATGGGTGTTTTGAAATTGCTTATAATGTAATTGCCAGAGTTGGATACCATGGGACTAATTGAAATTGTCCTGCTTCGATGAAAGGAAGAGGTCAATGAATAATAATCCTTGGAAATTTCTATTTGTATTGTGTTAATCATCAGTACAAGTACTAGTGAACATTGAAGGAATAGGATTCATGTGGATGTGTTCAAATTTATTGTGTCTTAACCCCAAACAAGTTTCGCTTGAACTTCTTAAGTTAGGGACATTTTTTTTTATTGCAATCTATTTGCTTGCATTCTGCTACCCTGTTGAGACGTGCTGTTAATGTCACGTATTTCTCTTGGCGACAGTAACAACAGATTCATGTTAAGCTTGATCTAAGCTTATCACTTTTCTACGATGGAGTGGTGCAGATTTTACTGTGAAAGTTTAAGCTGATTTTGTTAAGACTCCAGTTCAAGTTGGCTATTTCAACTCAAAGCCGTTCAACCATAATTTGTTTCATGACTAACCTAAAGGTTTAACCCATGTATATGAAGAGGTTAACAATAACCGAGTAACAAGTTGAACGACTTAACTCGTATTCCTGATAGTCTTCCTTTATTATTATTTTTTTTATATTAGACAATTTGTTTGCAATGGAAGGAATCTCATGAACTTTATTGTTTTATTTATTTTTGCAATAGGAGGCATAAATCAACGTCAAGAGAATCTCAATATTTAACTTCAACCCAAACAAGTACATTATGTGCCTTTCAGTGTACATTATGTGCCTTTCACTTGTTGATCAAACTGCTGCTGCTTCTTGGTTTGGTGTTGAATGAAATTGAAACTCTTGAACTTCATGGACAATATGTATTGCCTCAAGTCATATAGAAACTGTGACGTCCCAAAAATCGGGCAGAGTATCTTTTATACGGAGAGCTCTACTTAAAACATAATTTGTATAATTATATTATATTGATCACACTGGGTCCATTTATGAATAAATATTAATCCCACCGGATTCATTTTATTCATACTCATATAACTACATGCAATTTTTTTTTCATTAAAACAATCCATATGAGTTTGATTACAATTCTTTTTTATATTTACATGTCAAAAGTACGTTTTCATAATAATTTTATAAAATCTCAAAATAAAGCCACATCTTGGCTTTATCTCTTCCTTAAGAGCCCGAATGTGAGCCGTCCACTGGCGTATATCCCGCACCTAAAATGTTGTCTCATAAAGGGTGAGCCACGCTCAATAGGGTATCTCCTAAAGAGGTTATTCCCCAACTTAAATGCACATGAAATGTTCACATGCGACAATCAACCATTCAAAACATTCCAATCAAGAATATGTATTCAATGATAAGAATCCTATGTCATGTCATGAAATGAGATGAGACTCATTCATGCACTTCAACTTGAGCCCACTCTGGTTTATTCAACACAATGTAATGTCAATGTGTATAAATCTGTCATGATGATATACGTCCAATGATCTTTTTAAAACAAAATCATGCGTCTTTGTCATAAAACAAAATCATGTACCTTTGTTGGACGTTACACATCGAATGACTATTTTATAAAACAAATACACTTTTTTCATAATTTCACATCGGGGGAGTATATGAACCAGATATTTTATAAAACAAAATCATGTGTCTTTGTTGGGTAGCAGAGTTTTGATATCGCACCGCTGGTTCTGTACACCAATACACTTTTTCAGAATTTCACCTCAGGAGAGTGTATGAACTAGGTAACCAGGTCTTGCACTCGAGGGAGAGTCTAGTCTTGCTTGTTATATCCGACACAAGTTTTTCCTGCAACGTGTGACTTAATCAGAACTTTGTTCTAACTTTTTTCTGAGCCCACATATCATCCACCAAGAATGGTGTTTGATCAACTATGCGCACACACCCACGCTCAGGCCTTATACCTATGAATGTGATACCTCCGTGCAAATGCAATGAACCATTGCAATACTATTATCATGTTCAATATGTAATGAATGTCAGATGAATACTTTCCACACAAATCAACATACCCAGGACAATTTATATCGCATGCGTATAATTTCCACAAATTCTCACCATGTCAATATATCATGAGCACATATCAACATTTACATTTTCATTTGAAAATCACATCATAAGCATATGATTTTAGTTTCATCAAAAAAACTTCAACCATCCAAAGAATTTTATCAAACACCCCAAACAAGGCACAAATCATATAAACACATAACATGTCCAAAATTCCACATTTCTCAAGAAATTAAATTAAGCAATTTATAATATCCAATTTAAGATAGAATTTATTCTACCCATTTTCAATACCCATTTCACCAAATCAACAACAATAGGCAAATGATATAACTTCTATCAAACTACCCATTCCATATTTCGAACATAGGTTGAAAATAAACCTAAGTAGGAAGAAAACCCTACCTCTTGAAGTGTAAAATCAACGGTAGAATCTTCAAGAATATCACCTAGGTCCAAAACTCTTGATTTTCCAAAATCTCGACTCGAAAACTTCTATGAAATCAGCTTTTTTTGGTACGTAGACGTAGCTCTTGACGAGAAGAACAACTTTCGTTCTTGGCCCGAGTGGATTCGAGAACCGTAAGACCGTAAATCGTAAAGAGAAGTTGGATTTTCTCTTTTTCCCTCTCTTCCCCTCCAACGTTGCAGACCAACTGAGTTGTGGGGGGAGAAATCAGATTTCCCCCCTATTTATACCCTTTAATTGCTTGGCCCACAACACATCACACGACCTTCTTTTTTTCGAGTTTTTTTTTGCCCTGAAACGATTAAATTTTGTTTCGATTTAAGTTCAAAATATTTTTATTTCAACTTATTTTAAATTATTTTTTAAATTTTAAATTTTTATTAAAAATTTTATTTCGCCTCATAAAACGTGAAAAATTTGACTATCTCAGAATTCGATGAAAATTGATGGGATAGCTAGATTTCACGAGACGAATCCAACGGTGAGGTCAGTTTCGTCATCCGAGCTCAAAAAAAAAAATTCAGATTTACAACCCGTATTGTAGTGGTAAATTATCATTGTGCCCATTTTGGTAAAAAGTTCAAATTTACCCGGGTTTTATATTCTTCCCCCTTAAAAGAATTTCGTCCCCGAAATTCACACACACACATGCACATTCAACCACATGCGTATGCAACAGTCATATAATACTAAATGACAATAAGAATGTACGTCCATCCTCGAATAAGAAAGGATAATTGGTACACATAGTGTTCTCACGCTCCTATGTTGCCTCCTCCACATTTCGGTGCTGCTACAACACTTTCACTAGCCTCACGGTCTTGCCTCGCAAAACTTACTCCCGGCTATCTGTGATGCGCACCGATCCCTCCTCAAAGATCCTATCTACATCAACAATTAACTCGCCCTAATCCACTACATGTGTCAGATCTAGAGTATACTTTCGGAGCATAAAGACGTGGAATACCGCGTGAACACCCAATAAATTTGGCGATAATGTCAACCGGTAAGCGACTGTACCAACACTGTCGAGTACCTCGAAGGGCTCGATAAATCTTGGAACCAGTTTCCCCCTTTTTTTGAACCTGACCACTCCCCTCTTAGGCATCCCCTTCAAGAAAATGTGATCCCCAACCTCAAACTCCAGAGGTCACCTCCGTCTGTCAGCGTAGCTCTTCTGTCAGCTTTGAGTCGTGAGAAGATGCTTCCGTATTAGGTCCACCTTCTCCAAGGTGTCTCTAACCCAATCTAGACTCTTAAAGGGTCTCTCTCCAACCTTTGTCTAACAAACCGGAGAACAAAAATGCCTCCAATATAGTGCCTCATAGGGTGCCATCTGTATGCTCGTTTAATAACTGTTGTTGTAAGGGAACTCCACTAAGGGTAAGTGTTCTTCTCACTACCTTAAGATCTTGGACGCATGCCCACGACATGTCCTCTAAAACCTGGATGGTCCTCTATGATTGACCGTCTGTTTGGAGATGAAAAGTTGTACTTATCGTCAATTGTGTCCTTATAGCCCACTGGGGGCTCTCTAAAAAGTGAGCCATAAACTTGGAGTCCCGATTCGATACTATAGATACGGGTACCCCATGCAGTCGGACTATCTCCCGTATATACAACTTGTAGAAATCTTCTAGTCTGAATGTGACGCCCCTAAAATCGGGGTTCTTTTTCAACCGTTGACCACCTGTCAACCCGCAAAAGTACTTATGATTGTCGCACAACCTGACATCACGTCAATAGCATTCCCTTAACCGGGATCATAACCCACACGTGTAACCTGTGTATATTTTACCATTTGACATACCAAGATCCAATATACCACTATTTATCCTTATTTGATGTCCATTTATGTCCTTTAAACCAAAGAACCCAAAGTTCAAAAGCATGGTAAAGCAGTTTTAAAGTTTCAGATTTTTGGAAAACCTAACGGTAGGTTTTGTCCACTGAAAAAGTCCTATCGATAGGTTTTTCCTGATAATCAAAGTTCTGCCTGTACAAGATCCAATCAATAGGTTTTGCCCACTGGACAGCATTCTACCGGTAGATTTTGCCCAAATTTGCCTGTTTCACCTGTTTTTCATTTTCAATTCATTTCAAAACATATTATTTTCATCCAACCCATGTATAATGAAGATTTTTATATTACACAAGGTCCATACCAACTTTATTACATTCAATTCCATGAATTTACATATCAAAAACAAAATTTTCATAATCATTTACAAAAACTCAAAATAAAGCCACATCCCGGCTTTCTTTATCCTTGAGGTCCCATGTAAGGGCCTTCCTCTGGCGTGTATCTCGAACTTGAAATATTTTTTCATATAGGGTGAGCCACGCCCAATAGAGTATTTCTTACAAAGGCTATTCCCTAATTTAAGTGCATATGAAATGTTCATGCAACATTTAACAAGCAACAACCGTTCCAATCAAGATCAAGCAAGTCTATGTTGGAATCTAACAAGTCATGCCATGATATGAGATGTCACTCACTTATGCAGCTCAGCCCAAGCCCTCCCTAGCTCCTTTCACCCATGCAACGCTATGAGTATAAAATCAGGCTTTCCAAGCCCCCGCCATTGGTGTTACACACTCAATG